GGTGGTGTGTGCATCGTGGGACATTGTATGGATATACAGCTTCAGATTGCATGGCTAGTAACAGGGAATTTGCATCTGCATGAGAAGAGTACAGTGATTGAACTGAAGCTTGATGATGACCGTGTGGTGAGTGCGTGTGTGTTGGGGGGGGGGGGGGGGGAGGTCGAGATACCATCCTGGAGCAAGCATGTACATGTATATTTACATGTAAGTCCTGTAGCTTGGATGGATGTCGTTACATCTATATTCACTGGTTTGAGGGAAAGACATTTTACCGTATGTGATAGTTATCCACCCCACTCACAGTGTTCACGAGGATGAGGATGAAGATGAGGATGAGGATGAGGATGAGGATGAAGATGAAGATGAAGATGCGTGTAAAGTCTTTTAAAAAGTCACAGACCGAACCAGTAGTGATCACGTGACTGGGGAAAGCTAATCTGACCCAAGTATGTAGTACTGTATTAGTAAAAACCAGATCAACCTGATACACGTACCAGCAGTGCTAGTAGTACTAGTATGCAGTATCAGCCTTAAAACTAATTTAAAATGCCGCATTGCCATACACGGCAGGGAGTATTATTAGTATCACTGTCTCTCTCACGGTGCACGGTGGAATAGTGTACCACTGTCTCTCTCATTCAATGGTGGAATACTGTGTAAGTACAAATTTTCGTTTGTAAATTGACTTTCGCTATATTCGTTAGGGGGCACGAAATAACTAAAGTTTGTACCAAAGAGTCGGCGTGGAGAAAGCAAATTTATTAGTGCAATTAGGAGTATAATCGATGCAGACATGGCCAGACAACAACGAGTTCATGGAATTTTTAAGGATTTTTATGTTATTCAAAATCGATTTTCGTGTTCCGCTCATCAGTGAATAGTATCGGAACTGAGGGTACTGTGTACAACAATAGAACATTTTATAACAGCATAATTAATTAAAAGTGTGAACAACAAAGGAAGTGCTACAGCATTACATAATAGGTGTCAAACATAGTGCTAACGTATATAACTGAGTGCAGCCACAAAGCAAGAGGTGATACAGTGCAACATGACACGACATTTACATCTGATAACCAGCTACGAGAACAACTTTAGCGCGACTACATGCTTCTTTTTTATCTTTTTTTTTCTTTTCTTGTTATCACGTCTAGATTGTCTTGGTGTGTACGATGATTCTCACTTTTCTGTTTTGTGCCGTGCAAGTTATGTTAAGCAGTTGAAGGTTCTGGAAGCTGTATGTATTCGTGTGCATAATCCTGTTCTTTGTAAACAAAAGAAGCATGTAGTCGCGCTAAAGTTGTTCTCGTAGCTGGTTATCAGATGTAAATGTTGTGTCATGTTGCACTGTATCACCTCTTGCTTTGTGGCTGCACTCAGTTATATACGTTAGCACTATGTTTGTACCAAACTAAAGATTTTTTTCTGAAGGTTCGGGATGACAGACCTCGACCAAAAACGAAATTTAGTACGTAGCAAGCCTGCTGCTGGAGTGATCTAACGAAAGATTTCGTGAACGAAAATGTGTACGTATAACGTAGTGTATCAATGTCTCTCTCTCAAACTAAGTGGGATCGTGCAGTATGTCTCTCTCTCAAACTATAGTGGGATCGTGCAGTATGACTCTCTCTCTCTCTCTCTCTCTCTCTCAAACTATAGTGTTAGTGGGATCGTGCAGTATGACTCTCTCTCAACCTATAGTGGGATCGTGCAGTATGACTCTCTCTCAAACTATAGTGGGATCGTGCAGTATGACTCTCTCGGTTAATGGTACAATCGTGTGGGATGAGTCGCATGACTACCTCAATTCGTGGTAGAATAGTGTAGTACGACTCCCTCAGTTCATGGTAGAATCGTGTGGTATGACTACCTCAGTTATGGTGGAACAGTGTAGTTTTTCTAAAATGACTCTTTCATCAAAACCGTAGCCACGTATACTTGTCTGGTCTGAATATATCCAAGGGACAATACTACTCCAAGCCTAAACATATCAACGACATCATCCGAATAATTTCCATCTTTTCTAGCTTTTCTGGTTTCAAACATACGAGAATATTGACTGTCACCACCAGGACTCGAACCAGGAACCTTCGCTTGAGGCCAGCGATGCTCTAACCACCAGACTTTGAAACATCTATTATATTTGTCATTGCTATCAGGTTCGGTCTCATTTTCTCTGCGCTGCGCTGACGAGTCCAGAAAAGACGAACAGCTCTGTCCGCAGGTTGAGTGACTGTACATGTATACCGCTAAGAAGACTTGAGATTCTTGTCAGCTTCCGCCTAACAGCACGTACTGTACGCTAGTGAAGCAGGTAGAAGTACGCCCACTGCTGATCACAATTATTATTATGTATTCCCAAGCTGCGAGGGACTCTGAGAGAGAGAAAGGTATGCTTGAATTGAACTGAAAGGGTACACATGACGAGAGAGGATGTTTATAGGACGGTAATACGATACAGTTATCTGAAGTAGTGCTTCAGTTCACTGTTGGGTACCGGATTAATTCAATCAACAGCCCAGCGATGCGTGACATCGCAATGACCCCGGTAATTCAACATTCCCGTTTCCAGCATTGCATAGTCCTAACCGCGGTATTTCAACATTCTCTCCAAGTATGGCATACATGTAGTTCAGATCCCGATAATTCAACATTTTCTTAATCAATGCGATCACCTGGACTTGGGTGTTATGTTATTAGCTGGACTTGGGTGTTATTAGCCATGGACACTAGTATTGTTAACAGGATTCGCTACGGATGTGGAATGTAAGCGGGATTAAGTCAAAGAATGATTAAAAATGCCTCATACGTTGTCACACAACACTTCAGTGTTCTCGTGGATAGGTTGGCTAGCGGCCGAAATATTGGTCGAGGTATGAAAATCAATCATTGCACGGATTTGCAGAAAAGAGACCACTTGCGTAAGTGATGGTATAGGATTTTCCGTGTACACATTGTTCAAAACTAAGTAATTTTGAGCGGTGACCGGGGTATGCAGATGTTGTGCGGGTACACTTCCGCAATCACGTTTCTACGAAAACCTTGAGCTGCTTGGTCACCCCGTTGGTTGATTGGCTTGTGGACCTGATGCTCGAAAGGGTTTGTTGATATTACATCGAGGTCGCTGCTACATCTGCTGGTGCTGCTGGTGCTGCTGGTGCTGCTGCTGGTGCTGCTGCTGGTGGTGCTGGTGCTGCTGCTGCTATTATGTATTAACCCGTTGCGGTGCATCAGTCATTAGAGTCTGATATTGTGTGCGTACCGTAAAACTGTCGTAACTCCATCGATTTTTACGTTGGTGGTGGTGGTGCTGATGCTGGTGCTGATGCTGGTGCTGGTACTGATGCTGATGCTGGTGCTGGTGCTAGTGCTGCTTTGCTGCTGGTGGTGGTCGTGGCATGGACTTCCAGTATAGCTTGCTACAAAAGTGCAACACACTCGGCAGAAGTATCTCGACTTAGGGCCACTATCAGAGACTGACTGCAAACGTAGAGTCGAGCGAGCTGCAACTGTCGGTGCCGAAAGGCGGGCTCACGCTCCTGCATGGCTACTTCCCCTTGTCTAACCCCCAAGACGATAATTAATGATAGTAGCCGACTGGCCGGAATTTAAAAAAATACAACCTCAGATTTGGGTCAGGACCTTCAGAACCGAACGACCGTCTCAAGGGCAAGCTGTTTGGAGTGTTTTAACATAGCTCACAATAATTTATATTTCAAGTGTATTATCCGTACACATGCTGCCTAGCAAAAGAAATGATGAATTGTTGCTAAGAAGGCAGTGTCATGAACATTTAAAAAAAACTGAATATGGACTGGACTGAAGTCTGATCATGTAGTCTTCATTTGCAATCGCATATCAACACATTCGCGTTGTGCTCTCACGGCTAGCGACTGGAAAATCCAAGTTTCAAGACTTGATGTGATTGCCAGTAATCGAACAGATTGTGGACATTGCTATTCGGCATGCTCACAGTCTGATTTGGGTGTCATTGTGTCATTGTGTCCACTCGAAAGGAATTTGTCCAGGAACCTGCGGTCGTTACAAAATACAATGTTAGTTGTTCCACATTGCCTTCGATCATCGCCTCCAACACTGACCAACACTGACCAACACGCGTAGCTACTAGGTCTACTTCAAAGTACGAAACATACTCCGACAGTACGTTGTAGGTGTTGGCTGGGGACGACATTCTGCAGACTTAATTGGATTTCCACCTGTATTGCGGAAAGGATGAAAATGAAATACACATTCGCTAATTGACAGGTGTTAGTGCGTTACAGGCGGACGTAGCCAGATCCAGATCAGCACACCATGGCTTGTATTGCATCAGTGCCAACTGCCTTGGTATCCCGCTGTGCTGCCACAATCTGTTTCTTCTTGTTACCGCTTGAGCTGTGCGACCTGCTTTGGCAATCTCCACGAGAGAACCACCTTGCACAGTTGCACTGGATAGTGCCACGCGTACTGTCGGTGTGCATACACGCCATAAGTGCTCACTTGCCGCAAGTGATGGTGCTTGATAAACCTGGGAGAGAAGCGACACGTGTTCGCTACATCAGTAGATGTTTACCGCTTTTGATGTCTTGGCATCTTGCAGCGAGCAGCGTCATACTGTGGCAATTCCTTGTTTCGTGGAGCATGCACACACACCGGTGCAGGTTGGCAGGTCAACATGTGCAATACGGATGGCATTCCGGAGTGTCCGCATTGTGGGGTTCAAGTCAATTCATTCATGGAGGAAAAGTCGCATCTTGAATCTACACGATAATAATGTCGATATGGCGTTCTCGCAGGCAAATCCTAACTTGATAATGCTGCGAATGGCGATCTACTGCATGACTGCACTAACTGTTGCAGTGTACGCAGATTGTCGAGTTCTAGAACATGCTGACGTCTTGCCACTACTGTCCTAGCTCTGCTGCCGCTGCTGCTGTGGCTGCGGCTGCTTCGGCAACGTGAATTAACCTACATGAGTGTGTATATATCTGTTGGGTGCACGCTTACACATACACGTCCATATGTATCATACTTCTCTCTGCCCAAGCCGACAACTACCCCGATTATCGATGTTTTAGCTTTCATGCATGGCCAGCGACAGCAGCACCCTCCCTGCCTCTTTGCCTGCAGCATTCCTGCATGGTCCCGCACTGTTCCACCAGTCGTCCGTTGGTCTGGCAGCAAAGCACTGAACACGTCTGCAATCCAGCAGACATCATTCAAAACTCCTTGGACTCCTAGAGAAAATGCTGATGAGCTGGGAAAGGCAACTCAATCAACGTAGTGTGAGGTTTCAATTCAATAGGCGTACCGCTGGCGTTACATGGCAGGTCAAGGAAGAGGTTGACAAAACGTATCACGTGCTGCGTACTGTGTACTGTTTCAGATAGCCATTTAGATCCCTGTAGAGTGTAGGCAACTCCACCAGCATCCGAACATTTGCCGTGGACAAGCCCTGGGCGTCTCAATCTATTCTCTACGTCGTCGGTAAAAGCCTACATCATGTGTCATCGCCCGGGCCATGTGCTACCTTTTGTCAAGTGATACATGTATGTCAGCATCTTCACGCTGGAGGTCAGTTTGGATTTGTAGCCCTGAGGCTGAGGTGATAACAGGTCGATTGGTGTGAAGGATCAATTTGTGTTTCTGCCTGTGCCAGTTGCATGTTCAGTGCTCTTCCTCTCTCTATATGTGCATCGCTGGGGGTATCACTGAGCCCTTTTGTCGACTGGCATCATTGAGATTACTAGTATCTGACAAAATAGTTAGTACCTCACTCAGTGTTGCTGTTGTTGACCTTGCAAAGAAATCCCTTCAGGCGATAGTTTGTCAATCACCCAGGGTGTTCGGCGATGGTGTCGCCACTATCCGGACTCCGAGTCATTTGTAACTGTTGTCTGTCCCATCACGTGACACAATAGGTAACAAAATACCTTGTAGGCAACGTATCCCGTTCATCAACCATCTGTTGTGTTCTTGTGTTACTGTCTAAGTGGAGGTGCTATGGTTTCGACAACTGAGTTGTGTTGACATTATCGCCATCATCATTGTGGTCGCCGATCTTCCAGCTGCCGTGTAAGCAAGTGGTAAAGCCCGCATGGTGCCGTGGTGGTCTGCTCACTTCGTCACGCAGATTCAGGGCTTCTTCCTCTCTCACCTCACGTACCTCCGGGGCTAGCTGAGCGACGAGTGCGTAAATCTACACACAACGTGTCAGCTGATCGCACCTAGCAACGGACATGGCGGCGCACAGTGATAGCGCACAGGTGCGAAAACCTGCGAAGGAAGTGCCGTGTAAAAGTTCGTGCTCATCAAATCCTGGACTGAGGATAGGCTTTGTGACGCTAGCAGGAATTATTTGTGCAGTAATTACTGAGAGTAGTTTGCTGCTGTTTGCCGATGGCCAGCGGTACTCAAGACGAACGCATGGCGAGGAGAAATGGACGTTGTCGTCACTGCACGGCACGGGCGCACATGACGATACCACTAGGCGTAAGTTACAGTGTGTTTGTTGGCTGTCAAAACTCAAACTGTAATGCTAAACTTTCTGAAGAAAGAACTACACCAAATATCCGTGGCTATTATCCACGAATTACATTACCCTGTCAAACACTGAGGTTGCGGAGACTTGTAGGAGTCACGGACAGTGTCTACAGATAATCCCAATGCCAATGGTCACCTGGCAGTACCAAACGTATTATGTAATCGATATAGTCACAATCTAGGCTGAGAACTACATTGTATGTTATTCTCCGAGCAAGCACTAAGTCATGTAGTGGTCGCTACGAAACGCAATTTTCTTTATGATGTCTCTCTACTCTATCAGTTTGGGGTATTGAATTCAGTGTGAAGTTCAGAGAGTGGCGTGGTCCTCCTACGTAAATCTAACCACAAATTATCATATCTGTCGAAAAATTCCTTTTCGAGGGTGGAGAGGATAGGTGGCGTCTTTCAAAGAATGTTCATAATTATCTAAGTTGAGTGTGGTCTCTTGAGTCTTTGTATCACGTGATGATATGGGCCATGTTACATGCTATAATTATCAGAGCATGAGACAGTTTAGTGGTTAGCATGTGGCTCTTTGCTGATAGATCACTTACTGTGTGCGGGGTAATGTGTGCCTGAGCAACCCCATTGATGACTGTATGATGATGACTGTAGGGAAATGACTGTTTGGAGAATGACTATATGGAAATGACTGTTTGGAGAATGACTATGTGACACCTATCAATGGGACGTTGTTGTACTTGTAGCATACATACACACTGTGATCATCTTGGTTGTCATCCAGAATTACATAATCAACCACAGCATAGATGTATATGTCTACTTGTGGTGCTACTGCACACTGTTCTCTGTTCACAGGAACATGAACTAGGTCACTAGTGTAATAATGGTGTATGAGACTGTTCACAGGAACATGACCTAGGTCACTAGTGTAATAATGGTGTATGAACATGAACTAGGTCACTAGTGTAATGATGGTGTATGAACATGACCTAGGTCACTAGTGTAATGATGGTGTATGAGACTGAAATTTATTCCATGCAAATTAACCCCAGGTAAAGTATGCTGCTGTAGGAGTGGCAGCAGAAGTCCCTTTATTAAAATTTATAACAGCACAAAATTCGTCGTCTGTTTTTAAAAGGTAATTCAGACTGCTCTCACTGGTGATAGAAGTCAAGATGATTGTTGCATTGTGTGAAAGGTGGATCATTTTACAGCCTAGTCTTTCACACAGCTGGTGGCGATCTGATATTGCGACATTTGAGTGTGTCTGTTTGTGTTTGTGTGTGTGTGTGTGTGTGTGTGTGTGTGTGTGCAATTGTGCGTGTGTGTGTGTGTGTGTGTGTGTGTGTGTGCGCGCGCAATTGTGCGTATGTGTGTGTGTGTATTTGTTCTCCCTTTACAGATTCTCAGCTAGTGTACCCTGTCATAATCGACGGAGGTGGTGATGTCATTGATCACAATTTAGAGATGTTACAGCCGCTTCATCTAATGAGTGATGTTACAAGAGAAAGTGAAAGTCACCGGAGACTGCGGAGAAGTTCAGGCATCCTGCAAGAAGTCAGAGTTCGAGTTTCAGCGTTCAACCGTGATTTCCACTTTCTTCTGGAGCCCAATCTAGACTTGCTGTCGAACCATCTGCAACTAGACTATCATATAAACCAGTCAGCGACGCCAACGCCGTCATCAGCGTCGTCATCAGAACAAACCGAGGATGACGAACAGAGAAGTAGGAGACCGACTGCACTGGATGTGTCACATCTCATCGGCTGCTTCATGTCTGGTCGACTGGAAGAGGACAGCGAGTCACAAGCCGCCATCAATGTCTGCAATGGCATGGTAAGAAGCTAAACTGCCTACTGTGAATGTTTTTTCTTGTTGGATTTATGTACAGCTGGTGCCTTGGCCACTGCTGGGGAGGTCATTCCTCTTCAATTGGCTGTATATTCATCCCCTTAGCATACATTGGGAAGGCCATTCCTCTCAAACTGTGGGTGATATGCCTGAGGAAGAAAAAAAATTCGACGGGTTCACGTACCGGGCAGGTCAAGAACAAGGAGTCGTACAACTCCCTGGTCAAGAACACCTTTCCGCTTCCGTGGGACGCCACCACCCCATGATCAGGCGTCAGATGCGGCTCCTAAACGGTGGGGGAGGATAGATAAGATCCACCAACCAGAGGAAAACCCTATTGGAAACGTGATCCATACACAAGCAGTTTATTGTGGAGTAGTTTATTACAGCGGAGAGACACAATTAAGTGTGTGCTGAGACTAACTCATGTCTAATTGGTAGGGCTAAAGTGGGTATGCTACTTGTAAAGATACGAGAGCTGGTCATTATTCTAATGTACACTGTATTAGATTAGAAAATGGTGCTGGTTGCTAGATTCCGGTTGCTAGATTCCGGGTGCTAGATTCCGGTTGCTAGATGCCGGTTGCTAGATGCTGGTTGCTAGGTGCCGGGTGCTGGTTGCTAGATGATGGTTGCTAGGTGTGCGTTGCTATGTGTGGGTTGCTAGGTGCTGGTTGCTAGATGCTGGTTGCTAGGTGCTGGTTGCTAGGTGCTGGTTGCTAGATGCTGGTTGCTAGGTGCTGGTTGCTAGATGTTGGTGGCTAGATCCTGGCTGCTCAGCATACCTTTACGGGAGTGTGTGTGTGTGTGTGTGTGTGTGTTCAATCAGCTGTGTGGTGGATACCAGGCTAAAAATAGTGGCAGTCAATTCATCAGCCTTGCAAGCTGTTGAATGGTGTAATCCCAGAACAAGTTGCTATGTCTAACATAGCTGTTCGCTATCATCGCTTCCGCGATGGGCAGGTCTGAGGTCTGAGGTGTGTGTGTGTGTGTGTGTGTGTGCGTGCGTGTGTTCGTGATTGGTTGTCAGATTGGTGTATGCAGGTGTGTTGTATCATCACAACCTCGCAACAACCATACAGACAGCCCTGCTTTGTAGGTACAGTGTAGGTGCTAAGCTATCGTTACAGACATCCCTACACTGTAGGTAGATGCTAAGCTATCGTCATGGGCAGTTGATCTCAACCCGCGCACAGCTAGCGGCTTGGTCTTGGTCTTGGTCTTGGTCTTGGTCTTGGTCTTGGTCTTGGTCTTGGTGTTGGTCTTGGTCTTGGTCTTGGTCTTGGTGTTGGTCTTGGTGTTGGTCTTGGTGTTGGTAGATTGAATAAGCGCAGTCTGGAGTACTGTAAAGTCTGGTTTAAGCGCCTACCCCCCACCCCCCCCCCCCCCAAACAAAGTGCTTGCATGACAGACCAGGGTACAGGAGCTGGGGTGTGTGCCGAAACTTGCCGGTTTGGGTGTGTGTCCAAACACACTGGTGTGGTTTGGCTGGTTGGGTGTGTGTCCAAACACACTGGTGTGGTGTTGGTTGGTTGGGTGTGTGTCGAAACACACTGGTGTGGTGTTGGCTGGTTGGGTGTGTGTGTATGCCGGGATGTGGTATGTTGTGTTTCATGCGGTAACTTGAAGGCCTGGATGCATGCTAGCATAGGCGGTTTGGTGATTTGGGTGATCTGTATGTTTGCCCGAACATGGTGGATTCATGCCTGATTAGGTTAGAGGAGATGAGACGGAGATGAGACCAGTTGTGCTTATACTAGCTGATTACCTGTGTGTGGTGTTCATCAGTGTTAGTGAGGAATGCAGAGTTGCATAATTGTACACGGTCTTGTACATTGGAACACTTGAACACTTGAAAGAATTAGATAATGCAGAGATTTCTTGTGAACTTGGTTATTCCATTGATATGATTATATCTGTACAGTGTACAGCATTGGCATAGTTCACTTGTGTTGGATTTTGAAGGGGTTATGGTGAAACCTGATCCTAATTCACTTAAGTTAAGCGTAGGACTATGAACATGTAATATGTGTAACGGTTTAACCCGATACATGTGCGTCTTGCATACATGAACCTGATACACATTGGTTGTTGCGTATCAGGTTTCATGTAACTCAAGGTTTGTACTTTCACCAGACTCAAGATTGGCTCATGATTGGCTCATGATCAACGATGATCACGGGTAATACACACACAGTAAACATGCCAAGATTTGATTGACGGTGGAAGTAGAAAAACTCAGTTTTCAAGTGGGCTGTTAAGAGGCACAATGATTCATTTTCCGTTGTATGCAGTGCAAACGTGGTGTGCGCATTATGGTAGTGCATGTATATGTGCATGTATATGTACATGACAATAGCGAGAGTTCCCAGATTGCCTAGAGTGCTCAACACCACAAGGATGGAGCATTACCACAAAAGGCAGAAGAGAACAGAACATGTATATGTGCATGTTTATGTTTCTAGCTCTTTTCTAGCTATGTGCTTATTCAGTCTGTTCATCTTCATGTGCATGTGTACATGAACCTGGTTTGGGTTTGCCTACTATGTCACTATGGAAACATATGTGTGTGTGTGTGTGTGTCGATGCACATGTAGCCTACTATGTTACTATGGAAACATATGTGTGTGTGTTGATGTACATGTACCCTACTATGTTACTATGGAAACATGTATCTGTGGATGTGGTGACCTCGCATGGTGGGCGTGGGGCATCCACAATGCGTGTGAGCCGGAGCTTAGATGAATTTCTCAGTCAGTAATAAAATTGACTAAGAAATTAGCTGTTGACTCAACATGTCACTTCTATCAGTGAGTTATACCAGTGCTGGTCTAAACATGTCACTTCTATCAGTGAGTTATACCAGTGCTGGTCTAAACATGTTACTTCTATCAGTGAGTTATACCAGTGCTGGTCTAAACATGTCACTTCTATCAGTGAGTTATGCCAGTGTTCTTCATGTACTGAAGGTAGTAGTGATGAAGGGTGGCGGGGTGAGTATTCGGTTCGCTGGAGGGTGGGGGGAGGGGGGGGGGAGGGGTTGGCAGGGGTTGGTTTGTAGGGATGGGGGGGGGGGGGAGTTGGTTGGCAGGGGCAGGGGGCAGCATGGGAGGTGGGAGTAGATATGTAATCCGTGTGTAGCTAACTACTATTTCTGGAATACTTGTTTTGTTCTCTGGTGACTATGGGAATTATTATTATTATTATTATTATTATTACGCACACACTCATGGCCAAGGCCAATCAAGGAGGTGAGGGCGATTATAGCCAGCCATGGCAATTATAGCTTGATTTTCAAGAATGTTCTCTCTACACTCTTATGGCTACGTGTTGTGCAACATCTCGAAAAATGTCAAACATTGATACGACTGTCAGTGTCCTGAGATTGCAGAAACTTGACGAGAAAATTTTCCTGCTCGAGAATAAGTTGACTCTTGAAAACGGTGAACATCTGTGAATGCTGCTGTCAATGCTGCTGTCAGGCGATTGACACTTCAATAGACGAATAAATGAACCAGTGCACTCTACATGCAATGAGTCCACTTTTTTTCAAGAGAAGAATGTTTTAAACTACTAGTGAACGCAGGTGACAGCAAGTGAACTACTAGTTTGTGCTATTAGGTAAGGTGTCCCTGGATGAAGTATCCAAACACAGGATGTACACGAAACCGGCAAGAGATATTGTTATAGGAGCCTCTAGATCCAAAAAGGGCAGGTGCAGTGCAAGACGTATTTGAAAGATAATAATCCTGCCGAAAGGTCAAGTCCATCCTTGGGTGTAAATTCAAGGCACAGATGTTTGCAAGTAGCCGCATTACTTAGGAAGCAGTTGTATGTTAGGTGGTTAGTGCGTTCTCTGAAGCTGATATTTCCCCTCTTCCAGTATGCAGTACAGTACACTACAGAACACCACAGTACCCCGTACAGTACTGTACTGCATAGTACTATACTGTATGGCCGGGGGGGGGGGGGGATACTGTACTGTACAGTACCCCCCGGCCATACAGTATAGTACTATGCAGTATAGTACTGTGTGGGGTACTGCACTGTACTGTACGGGGGTACTGTCCCCCCCCCCCCCCCCCCCGGCCATACAGTATAGTACTATGCAGTACAGTACTGCATAGTACTATACTGTACGGGCGGGGGGGGGGGGGGGGGGGGACAGTACCCCGTACAGTACATTACCCCGTACAGTACAGTATAGTGTAGTATGTAACGCTAAAGGAGTGCTCACACCTGTGTGTCCAAACATGTGTTGAGCAGCTGGTTACCTCCAATCAAATGTTAGGTGCCCTCAGCATGGAATGCTCTCACCTGGGAGAAGAGTTCAATCGTTCTGTACTATTCTTGCAGCTGTAAACTTCACACCTCTTCTTGAAACACGCCTGTAATTATCCCAGTGGTACTCACCCTAATCCCTAGTGTACTAAACTGTATTATGTATGAGGAGTAGGAAGAGTAAGTGCATGTTCTGTAGTGTACTAATATGAATGTATTGCTTAATTATGTGAATGTGTAGTACCAATATGTACGATCGTCATGCATTATGTATGAGCGGGGGGGGGGGGGGGGGGGTTATGTGGATATTCTGTTCCTATGTGTGTATGTATGAAGGGCGGGCAGGGGGGGGGGGGGTATGTTGATGCCCCATGCCCATTATGCACTAACCTGTACTACTCTGTACCAGCACTGTAGCAGCACTGACTGTAGCAGCACTGACTGTAGCAGCACTGACTGTAGCAGCACTGACTGTAGCAGCACTGACTGTAGCAGCACTGACTGTAGCAGGGTGTATGTGTGTAAAGTGATCTGTACCTAGTTATAAGTGGTACACTTCAATCAATTAGTACCTGTCAGGCTCAATTGAAGAAAATCATAAAAACAGATTGGGGGGGGGGGGGTGGTGGGGAGGGGGGGGGGGGTGGTGGGGAGGGGGGGGGGGGGTAGGGAGGAGAGTCAACAGTGGTACTGTCCACCCTCTGTTATCTGTCCTAGAATGATATCAGTGGCAGTGTGTGTGTGTGTGTTGTACCCTGAACAGTGACCTCTGCCATGCAGACTAGCTAAACCTTCTCTGCACTGCCGCACCTAATCTCTTACCTAGGTGTTGCTACATCTCTGTGTGTGTGTCTGTATATGGAGGTGATTTGTAATAATTGTATGACGTACGTGTCAGTATATGTACATGATTGTACTGACACGTACAGTGTGTATGCTACACTGATGCAGCAATCCTGTGTGTATGCTACGCTGATGCAGCAATCCTGTGTGTATGCTACACTGATGCAGCAATCCTGTGTACGGTTTGTTTTTACCCATGGGAAAGGTGTGAAGAAAACGGATAGTCAGAAATGCTTTTCTACGAGTGCAGCATGATAAATATCATGCTCCAAGCGAAGCACAACCGAACGCTATGTTATTAGAATGCTCTTGCTTGCCGCCGTTCCTGTATCAATGTGAGAACCACACTGCAGTATTGTACAGCTGTGCATTCTACCAAGTGCATGTGCCATGGCTTCGGCACATACAATTGAACGAGGCTTGTTGTGAGATACATTTCAGTTATCTATTTTCATTGTGCCAACTAAGACATATTTTCAATGTGGATAGATTTTTGCTCTCATGGCAGCCGATGTAAGATTAGAGGCTGAACATACGATGCCTAGAGACGAGATGCCATGATATGCCCAGGGTGTATTTCTCTTGGTAGCAGTGTCGTTGACATCATGACTGACTATAATTATGTAGTTCAATGCATATCAATTTGAACGAGTGAGCAACAGCAGTATGCCAGAAAGAGACGTGTTGATGGCAAAGAAAGGAGTTAAATATATGCACGTTCTGCTGGCCTGGCTTTGGAAACTTTATTTTTCATTGCTATCAGGCTCGGCCTCATTTTCTCTGTGCTGCGCTGATGAGTCCACAAAGGACGAAATAGTTCTGTCCGCAGATTGAGTATGGAACCCCTCATAACGTTGAGGGAGTTGAAATGGGAAAGGTGTGAAGAAAGCGTTGACTGCCACCACCGCCTAGTCCTATACCCAGTATGTGCACTGCAGGCATTGCCCAGACCCTGGTAGTACCCAGTATGTGCATTGCAGGCATTGCCCAGACCCTGGGAGTACCCAGTATGTGCATTGCAGGCATTGCCCAGACCCTGGGAGTACCCAGTATGTGCCCTGTAGTCCAAGAGCGGCTTACATTCTTTGTACGAAACCCTTTACGGGACGTGTGGCAATTTCCAATCAATCATGTTTAGTAGTGTGTATGTAGATTGTTGGTACACTCATCGCCATTGCCGAGCCACCTTGCTCACAGCAGAGACTTCTGTGTGTGCTATTGTGGTGAAAGTGGACCACAAAGACTTCCACTCAATCATGTTTAGTAGTGTGTATGTAGATTGTTGATACACCCATACTGTACGGAATGTGTAAATTTGTCACAAGTGGAATTTGATATCTCAAGTACACTATCTTAGTGTCCTCATTGAATGATGTCAATCTGCAACAGGACTATTTACGCATGCATATTTACATAGCTAGCTCTTGCTGAAACTCAGAACCACTGGCCGAAATGGGTGACAATGAAGTGTTGCCTGCACAATGTCCTAGGCAGCACTTGCTTGTATGTGTGTGTGTGTCTTGGCGCTGGTTGTGTCTTGGCGCTGGGTGTGTTTTTGGTGCTGGTTGTGTTTTTGGTGCTGGTTGTGTTTTGGTGCTGGGTGTGTATATACATGAGCAGGTACATTAGAGCATACAGCTATCGAGAGTATAGTGTGACAAGTGCTGTGTGTTGTGACTGTTGTCTCAGTGCAGTACATGCATACCCAATACTACAGTGTACCACGTGATGTAGGGAGCAAGATACAACCCTGTATGGGCTCTGTACCCATGTATGGGCTCTGTACCCATGTATGGGCTCTGTACCCATGTATGGGCTCTGTACCCATGTATGGGCTCTGTACCCATGTATGGGCTCTGTACCCATGTATGGGCTCTGTACCCATGTATGGGCTCTGTACCCATGTATGGGCTCTGTACCCATGTATGGGCTCTGTACCCATGTATGGGCTCTGTGTCCGTGGCACAACACTCTCAACACTCTGTAGCCCAGAGACCGTTTGGAGAGTGTTGTGAAGATGTATGGGTATAGATTCAAAGCAGGGATGTCGGAAGGTAATTTAGTGTGCTACGGTCAGCCATCTGACGTATAATTTACTCGTTGGGGAGTGGTTACTGATGCGAAAATTTTGGAACACACTGTCTATTTTGGGAAGAGCAATTTGCATTTTGACGGTTATGCAAAATGTTAATACAATCCTAAGTGTGCTGATGACATCAGTATGACATCAGTTGATCTTTGTTCTTGGCCTCCAGTACTGTAACACCTCGCATAACAGGGGCGTCGCACACGGTACGGTTACTACGGTATTGACACTACGGTACGGTTACTACGGTACGGTTACTACGGTACGGTTACTACGGTACGGACCGTACCACTATTTGCCCCAAGTACCCTGTTAATCAATAAAATGCACTGATTTGGGCTCCAAATTTCCAAAATTGTCCGCTCAGCCATCCCTCCCCCACGAGTAAATTGTACTTCACATGGCTGACCGTACCACACTAAAATACCTTCTGACGTCCCTGCATGATAACCGCACACATCCGTTTTGCACAAAAACATCCGGATAGGCGAGGGAACCGGATAATCGAACATACATACTGTATGTAAGCATGGCATATGCTGTAAATCAGTAACCAACGATTTTCTTCCGGGTGGCGAGGGGTCCGGATAAAAGAGGACCGGATAAGCAAGGTCGGACTGTACTGGCATTCCCTAGTGTCCTATTTTACTTGGGGACCCAACTGACTATAGTGATCTTACAGGGTGCTTAGGAATTCATCACTGAACACATGTATGGTGATAAATTCATTCATAGAGAGGAGTGTCTGAAGGTTTTTTAGTGTGGTACGGTCAGCCATCTGAAGTACAATTTACTCGTGTGGGAGGGTGGCTGAGCCGAAAATTTTGGAAATTTAGAGCCCAGATGACGGTGTATGTTATTGGTTCACGGGGTACCTGGGGTACCAGGGGTACCTGGGGTACCTGGGGTACCTGGGGCGAAAAGTGGTACGTTCAATACCATAGTGACCGTACCTTGTCCTCCGCCCCTGATAGGTGTACACAAGTGAACAGAGTATGCCTATGTGTAGGAAACCTAAATGCCATTCACTAAACAGTCAATGTGCATATCATCATGAGTTCTATGCCGTTGAGAATGCGGCCAAGATTGACTATACAATCAACGTTGCAAATAACGATCCTCAATCGGCCATAAGAAACGTGTTTTTATTCACAGGTTCTTGTTATTCGCAAAGTTAAAATGTAAAAGTACGGCGTGTTGTTCTTCGCCACACTAAGAAAGAGGGATGCACTTCAGGTTCAACAACATTTTGAAACTAGTCGACGAGCCTACCATAATTTATCTTGCTGTGTGTGTATGTGTGCATGTGTGTGTGTGTGTGGGTGTGTGTGTGTGTGTGTGTCTCTGTATGTGTATCGTGTGTGTGTGTGTGTGTGCCCGTGTGTGTCTCTGTATGTGTATCGTGTGTGTGTGTGTGTGTGTGTGTGTGTGTATCGTGTGTGTGTGCGCGCGTGCCCGTGTGGATGTGTGTGTGTGTGTGTGTGTGTGTGTGTGTGTGTTTGGTCATTCTCCATCCCACCAGACGGGCATGTTTGTTAGTGGTGATAGAGAGTTCATCATTGAACCAGTGCAGAGCACATCATCATCCTCCTCTGGAGAACACACTGCAGGAGATTATCGTAACCACCCACATCTACTCACACAGACTACAAGAAGTAGAAGCAGCAGCAGCACGGTGCAAAGAAGACGGATGCAGACAAATGCTGACTCGGCACAGCAACGGGTTCAGAGATTTAATGGAGTCCAATGTGGCGTCAAAGGTACGTGTGGATAGTAGAGTGAAACCTGTGGAAGGCGACCCCTCAAGGGACGACCCCTCAAGGGACGAGAAAAAGTGGTCGCGGGGCCAGGTGGTCTTCTTATCCAGGTTCAGTGGGTCACGTGACCATATCCACATGTGATACATCATTTTGATCAGTGCATCACAGTGCACACACCTACATATTATATGCTACTCTAGCAAGACTCATGTGCCTGGGGTCCTCAGACCTGTCAAATGTCGTGCATGCACCATGTACATCTACACTTCCTGCACTGATGTGTAGATCTACCATGCCTGGTGCACCATGCAATGCATACATTTACATGACTAGCACTGTGCAACGCGGTCACGGCTGGGTAGTCGCCGGTCGCGTTGAGCGAGTGGTCGCCTTATTCGAGGTGTTTTGAATGTGTATGCGTCCATGACAAGGAAAAGTGGTCGCCATGGTCGAGTGGTCGCCATATCCGAGTGGTCGCCATATCCGAGTGGTCGCCATATCCGAGTGGTCGCCATATCCGAGAGGTCGCCATATCCGAGTGGTCGCCATATCCGAGTGGTCGCCATATCCGAGTGGTCGCCATATCCGAGTGGTTGCCATATCCGAGTGGTCGCCATATCCGAGTGGTCGCCATACCCGAGTGGTCGCCATATCCGAGTGGTCGCCATATCCGAGTGGTCGCCATATCCGAGTGGTCGCCATACCCGAGTGGTCGCCATATCCGAGTGGTCGCCATATCCGAGTGGTCGCCATATCCGAGTGGTCGCCATATCCGAGTGGTCGCCATATCCGAGTGGTCGCCATATCTGAGTGGTCGCCATATCCGCGTGGTCGCCATATCCGAGTGGTCGCCATATCCGAGTGGTCGCCATATCTGCGTGGTCGCCATTTCCGAGTGGTCGCCATATCCGAGTGGTCGCCATATCCGAGTGGTCGCCATATCCGAGTGGTCGCCATATCCGAGTGGTCCCCATATCCGAGTGGTCGCCATATCCGAGTGGTCGCCATATCCGAGTGGTCCCCATATCCGAGTGGTCCCCATATCCGAGTGGTCGCCATATCCGAGTGGTCGCCATATCCGAGTGGTCGCCATATCCGAGTGGTCGCCATATCCGAGTGGTCGCCATATCCGAGTGGTCGCCATCACATGTTTTACTGCATGTCTTGGTGTGTGGATGTCTGATGTGATGTTGTGCACAACAAATATTATGATTATGTGTGGTTTCTATGGTGTATTCCTTGTATGATGTGGTTGTTGGCTGAGCCTGTTGTAATCAATGAAACTTCTTCATCTCTGACTTTTTGGCTTTCTTTGTGCCTCTTTATCTGCTTCTCTGTGTCCTTTCCTTATCTTTCGAACCTCTCTGGCTCTCTCACTCTCTCCTTCCCTCACTCTTTCTTTCAATCTCTCTCTCTCTCTCTCTCTCTCTCTCTCTCTCTCTCTCTCTCTCTCTCTCTCTCTCTCTCTCTCTCACACACACACACACACGCACGCACGCACACATACATACACTGTACGTAGAGAAGGCAAAAGGCACAGCATTACCCGCACCAGTGATGACAGATCAGGATGATGTTGCTGTGAGTGGTGACGATAGCAGTAACCAAGGTGATGGTCGTTATGGTAACGGTGATAGTGACGGGCATCGACAACGACGCTCCGTTAGTTACCGTTACTACGTAGAAACATACATTGTTGCTGATGATGCTTTCTACCGTCGTCATGGTGACGCGTCAATCCACATCATGCTAAATGCTATGAATATGGTAAGCTGTAACGCAGTGCATTACACTGTATTCAGATAGGCCGCTGTGCAAGTATCTACACGACGCTCTATTCAGATAAGTGTACAAGTATTCATGCAGGATATGATTCAAACCGGTGTGTGGACATTGAAACCTGTTGAGAAGTCAAGCGGTCACGTGTGGCCAACATTGCAGGCGGGAGTACTGCTGGTCCATTTTGACCGTGTGTACTTGAACTAAAGTATGTATGTTGTGCATGTATACGAAGGCAGTAAGGGCGCCGGCCTCGGTCATTACACCGCATTTCAGCCTCGGTCATTACACCGCATTTCAGCCTCGGTCATTACACCGCATTTCAGCCTCGGTCATTACACCGCATTTCAGCCTCGGTCATTACACCGCATTTCAGCCTCGGTCATTACACCGCATTTCAGCCTCGGTCATTACACCGCATTTCAGCCTCGGTCACTACACCGCATTTCAGTGTCCACAACTGTACCAAGACAGTGCATGATTCAGCCATGCACGTATGGTAAAACAGCCTATGATTCAGACATAGCTAGGTGCGGTAGAGCTGCTGATGAATCAGACAGAGCAGATACAGGTGACGCAATGGATTTGGAATTATCACACTCCATTATTTGCTAATTGAGTGCAGTGCACGACACAGGTCGTGGGCAAAGCTCTGCTATTGTTATTAATGCCACTCTGGCCCAACACTCGAGGGGAAGCATAGCCTAAAAACAAATTGACACAAGTTGTAATCTTCAGGGTGCTGAGTCTAATGGTCTTGGTCTAAGGAACCTGAGACGCTCCCTTCCTCCTTTACCCCCAATCAAACTCGCCCTACTAGATGGGGATTTGTATGGAAAATGTCACTGAAAGCACCATTTTCTTTTTTTATAAAAGCACGGATGACCGCAATTGGCCCATATGTTGTAGCCTTTTGGACGCTGTGTTGACTGGTTTTGGTCCGAGAAATCTGTGATGCAGCGTTCGGCCCTTATTCCCAATTGAACATGGTTGAATAAGCGGTTACGTGCTCATGCGTACACCAGTCACCTGGTCACCTTGCCTGCTGGCTACAACTTTCACACCAAAGTTCAACTCAAGTGACTGGAACGCGTTCAAACCATCTGTAGTTTGGAGGCTATTCATGAAGATGGTACTCACACGTTCATCAGACATGCACTGCCTGTTTTCACAAGTACTAATCTGCATACATGGATATTGCTATTTTTGGACTGTTGGATTTGAATTTTAATCAGTATTGCATTTTACTCAGTATTGCATGCAATGTTTTGTTGATTGTATGCAGGTGTCGACACTCTTCAAGGACCCCACTCTGGGGAATAATGTCAAGATTACTACAAGCAAGATTGATATTGGCCAGCAGGGGTTGAGAAAACAGGTACGAACTGCTCATGCCATAAATTGCTCTATCCGTGACGTTTGCCTGTTCAAGTGGTGGGGTCCTTTCTGCGTAGCTGGTCCCCCTTCTAGGGAGGTGCACGGCTGGATACATGGATGTGTAGGATGGCTGGATACATGGATGTGTAGGATAGCTGGATACATGGATGGGTAGGATAGCTGCTGCTGCTGCTGCTGCTACTGCTGCTGCTGCTGCTGCTGCTGCTACTACTGCTGCTGCTGCTGCTGCTGCTGCTGCTGGTGCTGCTGCTGCTGCTGGTGGTGCATTCATGGTCATTCATGGCCATTATGTGCATGCTGAACCCGATGTCGAAATTTCTAGGGCGGGGGGGGGGGGGGGGCACGTGCCTCCAGTATCCCATGCAGGCTATTGGCCTGAGGGGGGGGGGGGGCATGTGCCTCCAGTACCCCATGAGGGGGGGGGGGGAGGGTGCACGTGCCCCCAGTGTCCCATGCAGGCTATGGGCCTGAGGAGGGGGGGGGGGGGGAGGGTGCACGTGCCCCCAGTGCCCCATGCAGGCTATGGACCTGAGGGGGGGGGGGGGGGTGCACGTGCCCCCAGTGTCTCATGTAGGCTATGGGTAGGGCTCCGCGGAATGTGCCGGCATAATTTCGGGAATTATCGGTTTGATTTTTAAAACGGAAATTATTGGCAATTTTTGTGGAATATTATTATTATTATTATTATTATTCCACAATCACGATGACATAGTGCCAATAGGCATGTGATGCGGGCGATTTTAACCAGCCATGGTGGATAATCGGTAAAATTTTAGCAATGCCCCCCTTTTTTCAATTTTTTTCCATTTATAACACCCTGATTTGTACCAAAAAGCTTGTGATCCTGAAGTTGATCGCCCGGTATTTCAAAAAGAAAAAAAGCTTCCAGCCGAGTTTCACGCGAACCGTGATTTTTTTTGCCCGTACAAGTGGCAAGAAAACCCGTACACAGTACGGTATCTGCAAAAAAAGGGAAGAAAAACAGCATTATCGTGAGAATTATTGGTGGAATCAAGGGAATAATCGGTCGAAATTCTGAGCAATGCTCAAAGGAATTATCGGTAAAAATACGAGCATATTCCGCGGAGGCCTAGCTATGGGCCTGAGAGGGGGGGGGGGGAGGAGGGTGCACGTGCCCCCAGTGTCCCAGGCAGGCTATGGGCCTGAGGGGGGGGGGGGGGCAAGTGCCTCCAGTGCCCCGTGCAGGCTATGGGCCTGAGGGTGGGGTGGGGGAAGGGTGCACGTGCCCCCAGTGTCCCATGCAGGCTATGGGCCTGGGGGGGGGGGGGGGGAGGGTGCACGTGCCCCCAGTATCCCATGCAGGCTATGGGCCTGAGGGGGGGGGGGGGGGGAGGGTGCACGTGCCCCCAGTGCCCCATGCAGGCTATGGGCCTGAAGGGGGGGGGGGGGGTAGTGCCCCCAGTATCCCATGCAGGCTATGGGCCTGAGAGAGGGGGGGGGGGGGGGAATGCACGTGCCCCCAGTGTCCCATGCAGGCTATGGGCCCAACGCGGGGGGGGGGGGGGGGGAGTGCACGTGCCCCCAGTGTCCCATGCAGGCTATGGGCCTGAGGAATGCGTTCGATTATGGCTGCGAATCGATTCATGAATCCATTTATGAATCGATTTGCGCTATTCACATCACTCCATGTGAATAGGGTAAATGCATTCCGAATCGATTCCAGCGCTCAAGACATGAAATCGCACTGCGAGATTCCATTCATAAATCGATTCAAGTGCGTAATCGAACGCGCTCAGTATGTGCACGGTCTTGGAGGCTGGTATGAGGTCACCCTCATCTTATCCAGAAAACACATTACGGTATAACTTTATTGGTCACACTGTACTGACCGGAACGTGAACAAATCTCATGGTTGGCATGAGAATCAGCCAGACAGAGTTTTCTGAATCTGTAGGATCGTCACCACCCTCAATGGTCTACACACAGATACATGAATGACCCGTGTATCCTGTGTATATGTAATGTATCTCCACTGTTGCTTGCATCACCGTGTGAATGTCCTGTGTATGTAATGTGTCTCCACTGTTCATTGCAGTACCGTGTGAATGTCCTGTGTGTGTGTGTGATGTATCTCCACTGTTGCTTGCATCACCATGTGAATGTCCTGTGTATGTAATGTGTCTCCACTGTTCATTGCAGTACCGTGTGAATGTCCTGTGTGTGTGTGTGATGTATCTCCACTGTTGCTTGCATCACCATGTGAATGTCCTGTGTATGTAATGTGTCTCCACTGTTCATTGCAGTACCGTGTGAATGTCCTGTGTGTGTGTGTGTGTGTGTGATGTGTCTCCACTGTTCATTGCAGTACCGTGTGAATGTCCTGTGTGTGTGTGTGTGATGTGTCTCCACTGTTGCTTGCAGTACCGTGTGAATGTCCTGTGTGTGTGTGTGTGTGATGTGTCTCCACTGTTCATTGCAGTACCGTGTGAATGTCGACAATGCCACACAAACATTGGATAATTTCTGCCAATGGCAGAGTGAGATGAACGGCACGAGAGTGACAGCGGGTGGGGGATTGTCGAGTTATCATGATGTAGCCGTCTTGTTTACTGGGTAAGGGGTACGCCGCTGCAAGTGTCTATGTGTATGCGCGTGCATGCGCGTGCATGCGTGTGCATGCGTGCGTGCGTACGTGCGTGCGTGCGTGTGTGCGTGTGTGTGTGTGTGTGTGTGTGTGTGTGAGTGTGTGTGTGTGTGTGTGTGTGTGTGTGCGTGCGTGCGTGCGTGCGTGCGTGCGTGCGTGCGTGCGTGCGTGCGTGCGTGCGTGTGTGTGTGTGTGTATGTGTGTGTGTGTGTGTGTGTGTGTGTGTGTGTGTACATGTGCACACAGTACTGTTCTCTATTCTCTATGATATCACTATCAAATTACATGCGGTGGTGAAGAACTAGTTTTGTGTTTTCCCTTGCACGGAGCCGAATGGATTAGACCCGTGAAAATCAACAACTACTTCCACTCTGTCATCCTGTATGTACCTCCTCCCCCCCGACAAAGCGTGCATTTATGTGTGTGTGTGTGTGTGTGTGTGTGTGTGTGTGTGTGTGTGTGTGTGTGTGTGTGTGTGTGTGTGTGTGTGTATGCATGTGTGTACATTTGTGTACGTGCGCGTGTGTTTTGTATGTTTTTGTTGACAGAGAGAACATGTGCAGCAGACCAAACACGGGGTGTGAAGTTGTCGGTAAGTGAAAATTGTGCTGAGATGCAGTTGCTGATTCGAACGTTGTTGCCTGCAGGTACAACAGGCAAAGTCAAGCTGCTTAGAATCAGCAGCTCTCCCGGACTAGACCGGTTGAAGACAGCTCGTATGGAATCATAAAGATTATTTGTCTATATTATGAAGATGATGATTTTACTCTTTTTATTGCAATCACGATGTACTCAGAATACTGGATTAATCAACGGACATCCCTCGCTCTAAGGCAAATTCTGCATTTCACCTTGTCAGCGCCCAGAGTGTTCATCCTGGCCAACATCCCCTTCTCCCTATCTCCCTCCCTCCCCCCCCCCCCCCCTTCCCCAGCCCAGAGACCCTGATTTTTTTCTGCCAATCCGCATGTCTGTCCATCTGCTTGCCTTTCCTCCTCTCGCTCTCTCTCTCTCTCTCTCTCGTATCTCTCTCGCACTTTCTCTGGCGCATACTCTTAACCCTTTAAGAGCCGCCCCATACTTGAATGCGTCGTAAACGACGCATTCAAATGCAAAACTTCAAAAGATCGTAACTCAGTCCAATCTCGCTCAAATCCAGTGATCGAAATATCCAGGGCGAAGAGAAAACTCTCACCTGTCGGGAGAAACAATCCGCGAAGCGCTGCGAGTAACGGTTCCTGAGATAAATCACTCGTAAGTTTAGCCACGATCGCGGCAATTTCAAAAGCGCGCAGTGCGACTTTAGTATTGAGAATTTTGAGACTTTTCGTCACGCTGGTTTACTCGAATTTGCACGGGTTTCACTGTTGATATTGTCAAGAGTACACAGCGAAAAATTGGAACTCCACGATCGCGTAAAATGAAATATCTGGAGCAGGACGCAATTGGACGCATTTGGGGCACTTTTCGTACTGTCGCTGCGATCTAGCGCTGGATAGACGGTGTGCTGGCTATCATGATCGACCTCATTCTCTTCCTCTCGCGGAGACCTTTCCAGGAAGCCCTAGATTGTGAGGATTGAGTGAGTAGAACTGAAGCTATGATCCAAGGAACACGAAAAAACGCAGAATTTTGAAATTTTCCTGTGGCTCTTAAAGGGTTAACACTCGCTCACGCTCTCTCTCTTTGTCTCACACACTCTCCCCGCCGCATTCTCATGCCCAGGCATTGGCAAGATGGGTGGTATGTGTTCGTCACGACGTAGCTGTAGTGTAGCTGAAGACACTGGATTGTTCATAGCGTTCACAATAGCACATGAACTCGGACACAAGTAAGTCAGCTTGGTAACAGCTTGGTAACAGCCTCTACGTCTGTAGGCATGTG